TGTATATATATATAGAGAGAGAGAGATGTGAGGATATATTTCCATACAGCTTTATGTTTGTGTATATAGTAATAAAATATATACAAATATATGAGTGTCTCTGCTTTGGAACATGCATACATCCCATCAGAATATTGTATAAGTCTTAACCCCACTAAGAATATTTAAATGCACTCAAATCGTTGTTTGTTTCCAGCAAAAAATACAAATAAAATCGTGAATTTTAGTTGAATATTCAGCGAGTTAATGTTGATTAAAATGGATTCTGTGCCTCCTCAACACATGACACCTGCTGGTGAGGCTGTCGACCGCCCAAAGATGGCGCCAACAAATCACGTCAGCGCCCATAGGCGAAAGCTGTGGATGCGGTGTCTACTTATGTATCCTCCACACCTGCTGGTGGCGCTAACGCGTAGCTTCATTGAACAACGCGCATGCGCAAACCTATTTAAACCGGGAAAACATCTATTTAAAAAAACAAGTGTTTGGATCTGTGGGCCGGAGCTCTGAGTAAGTCCGGATTTTATTAAGATTAAATACGGAAATAAACAGTAATAGTATAGGAAACTAGATTTTAGTAGTTAAAAGAATCAATAGCTTGAATGTATTGAGCTACCTTCGCTAAAATATTAGGACACCGCAGAGATTGCCTGATGGAAAAAAAAAAAACAGTTCAGAGATTCGTCTTAAGAAAACAAAAGATCCAAAAATGTAATTAATTTAGTTTCTCTCTTCTCCAACTCTAACAGTTAGTTTCATGTTTATAATGAGAGGAGACATTTTGAAAATTTTCCTCCAACATCTGTACTATCGGTCCAGATCCTGTCAATCTCTCTAAAAACTCTCAACTTTGTTCTTATTGTTTCTTTTTTAAATGCTGATCAAACCTTTAGAAAGTGCTGCAGCTGCTGAAAGAAACGACTCAGGAGGCTTTTCAGTGTCAGGAAGGAATAGTTTTAAATGATGTCAAACAGAAATTAACATTTTATACAGGATTCATCTGTTTCAGCACATTTCAAAGTCATTTCAGAAAACTTCAAACATTGAAATGGTTTTATTTTTCTCTGTTTATGGATAAAAAAGATGAGATTACAACAAGTTTCCTGATGAGGTTTGATAACAGTTTCTATTAGAAAATGAGCATTAATATTTATTATCTGTAGTAATTATTTGAATGGTTAATGACTAGTGATGGTTAATGACTAGTAATTGTTACAGACTAGTGATGGTTAATGACTGTTGATGGCTAATGACTAGTAATTGTTACAGACTAGTGATGGTTAATGACTAGTGATTGTTACGGACTGGTGATGGCTAATGACTAGTGGTGGCTAATGACTAGTGATTGTTACTGACTATTGATGGCTAATGACTAGTGATTGTTACTGACTATTGATGGCTAATGACTAGTGATTGTTACGGACTAGTGATGGTTAATGACTAGTGACTGTTACGGACTAGTGATGGTTAATGACTAGTGATTGTTACGGACTAGTGATGGCTAATGACTAGTGGTTGTTACTGACTAGTGATGGTTAATGACTAGTGATTGTTACAGACTAGTGATGGCTAATGACTAGTGATGGCTAATGACTAGTGATTGTTACGGATAAGTGATGGTTAATGACTAGTGATGGCTAATGACTAGTGATTGCTACGGACTAGTGATGGTTACTGACTAGTAATGGCTAATGACTAGTGATTGTTACGGACTAGTGATGGTTACTGACTAGTAATGGCTAATGACTAGTGATTGTTACGGACTAGTGATGGTTAATGACTAGTGATTGTTATGGACTAGTGATGGTTACTGACTAGTAATGGCTAATGACTAGTGATTGTTACTGACTAGTGATGGTTTATGACTAGTGACTGTTACGGACTAGTAATGGTTAATGACTAGTGGTTGTTACGGACTAGTTATGGCTAATGACTAGTGATGGCTAATGACTAGTGATTGTTAC